GTTACCAAAGGTCTCCCATCTCACTACTGGCAAGGCCCTGTCCTGCACAATTTCCTTCTATCTAAAAGTTTACAAAGAGGAACTTTGTAAAAAAAAAAAAAAAAAAAAAAAAAAAATAAGTTATAGTCCATCTTCTGTAATTTATACAAATCATTGCCATGAACTCGTTTATTCAGGCAGCGGTTATGAAAATGGCGTCTGTGTGATTTGTAACCCACGTGTGGCTAAAGGCTCCCTAGGGACGAAAAAGTCTGGTTTTTACTGTACAATCATACTGGGGCACGGTCACAAGCTGCATTTAAACCAACTTGGACTGAGAATAATGCAGTGAGTTCAGGGAGCTCGTAGACCACAGCAGATGTTGCTTAATCCCACATTTGAAATTTAGATAGTAGCTCTCTCACTAAAATATGAAACACGCTCTAGTCCTCCATATGTTACAGTGGCTTATCTAAATTATAATATTCCTACCAACTGAGACATGCAAAAAGGGAGAATTGATGAATGTTAAAGTCCCATTATGAATGCTTGAGGCCACAGCATTGGTATTAAAATATGTTTTTTTCAAAATTATTTTTTACTATTGGCCAGAAGGTTTGGGGCTCAAGCCAAGCTCCAATTAGTGTGTACTGCCCTTGGACAAGACAATCTATCAGCCTTGCAAGGGTATTAAAGTTGTAAAAGTGGTAGAGGCATGGGTAAGAGGGCCAGTAGTTATTTCAAAATGGAATAAAATTGAAATACTTGCATTCAACTACAATAATTTGTTAAAGGGACAGTATGCCATATTTTTATTTTATATTTCATCTGCATCTTTTATGTGTCCTCAGATAAAAGGTCTCATTTATGCCTTGTCTGAACAAAAGTTTAAAGTGGAGTTATTCTGAATTAATATAACAAGTCAATATTTGGGTTGCAGTTTGTCTTAAAGTTAAATGAACTAGTTATTATTGTAATCCAATGATATCTTATCTAGAGCAGATTTTTAAAATAAGCTTTATATTCAAAAGCACACATGGAATTTTCTCACATATTTCATATACAGTAGTGTCCAAGCACAGTCGGCCATGTTTGATTATTCAACAAATTCCAACCGCCCCACCGATCTTCCCCAAATACAGATACAGCTGAATTGCCAAATCGCACACAGCAGTATCCCCCACACCCTGGCTCAGATCTTTATGAATAGAATATACAAAAACTCCAAAGGCTGATCTACCGCTGGCCTCAGATACACCCACGCCACAGTCGGTCTTAATTAGTTACTCCTCAATCCTACTGCATCTGTTCAAGTGTGCTTCCTCTCCCAACCTCTGCCAAGCCGACTGGAGCAGTGCCCAGCCACACAGTGTATGAAGATACTATAGCAAAATGTCATGAGTGCACTTGACATATATAGGAAGTAGTAATTATTTTATTTCAAGAACAAAAAACAGGATCCTGATGTTCTCCTGATAAAAATATCATTATTTGATGTTAAATGTGTTCTTTTAATTGAGACTCACCAAGACCTGTGATGAGGCCTGTCATCGAAATGCTGCTTGTTGTTGTTATCATTTTTAATAATTCCAATGTGGCCAAAATATATTGTATCACTGTTGGCTCCAAGAAGTCCAGCCAAAGAGGGACGTATGTGCACTTTCTAGAGGAAGCAGGCTTTTGAACATACAAGGAAGGTCTTGTCATCGTTCTTTGCTCTGTTGCTTCTTCCTTTCCTATCTGCATGTGAAGGTGTGTCTTCTAGTGTGAATGGAGCTACAGACTGTTTCAGATCTGTTCTGAGAGAGGCCGAGCTGTTGTGCTCTGTCTCTGTCAAGACATTTTTCTCCTTGTACATGGGTAACAAGAACAAGTAAAAGATTAACTATGTCTGTTTGTTGTGTGAGATTTTGTCGGGCTCAACTGTGGCTAAATATCAGCATTAACAAGGCCCCATTTAAGACTTCTAAGGAATAAAGCTGCAAGTGATGAAAAACTCCCTTTCATGCATTTTTTAGGTATGTTTTTTATGATAATACCAACTGTGATTCTCCTGTGTTTGTCTGAAACAAATAAATACAAAATATAAGCTTCAGAAACTCACTTTTTACATAAAATGCCAAGAAGAGCACCCTCAAAGCATTGATTAGAAACAGGGAAAGATTATGAGCTCAAGAGTTAATATTATTATTATTATTATATTAAATAACATTGTAACAGGACAACAAATGTCATATTTTAATGGAACTCTTGAATATTTTGGTCTTCCTTCCGGGTCAGATATGAAGATCCAACCTCTCTTTCCTCCACATTCTTCAATACTTTTTTTTTAAACAAATATTTAACGCCTTGGTGAGTTCATTTCAAATAGCATTCAGACTGATTCAGAGAGCAAATTTGGCAACGTAGCATATTTACTTATTTGGGTTCCTGGGTACATACATTAGTTGATGCATTAAGCCGAAAACTCATACTTCTTTTGCTATAATCATTGAACTGTTGCATATTTGTAACAGAGGGTGCTACGGGGTAAAAGTAATGGTTTCTAAATGGCTCTTAGTCTATAGCTACGGTGAGCAACCAGTATGAAGACACTATAGTCAAATGGAAAGACATATGAAGATGCTATAACCAAAAGAGTGCACTAAAGCCATGCAGATGTGACCAGTCCCATAATCTAATGGAGCAGATACCAAGAAGCTAAAACCTGGACGTGATGGATGGAGGTTATTTGCAGAGTTTTGTTTGTTTCGCCGGTGGTGTAGTAAAATGAGGTAAACTCTCAGTGATGAATGAGAGCTCAGGCAGCAGCTTCCCAAAGCACACTGACAACGAAGTCACCGATGGGCCATTTTACCTGGAAATAAGCTTCTAAGGAACGAAAAAAATAAATTACATACATTAGGCGTGCCGAAATAAACGTGACTAATCGGCTATGGGAATAATTGCAATAGGGAGTCAGGGACAATATGTTTTATGCACTCACAGTGGTCTACAATTACACTTTTGTGAGAATCTTCCTGTAGCTCCTAAGCACTGAATACTGATGCAATCCATCTGCTGGGGTTTAGCTAGAAACAATACCACCTCATTCTGCTTTGTGATTGGAAACATAAATATTATGGATATCAAGTCCATTGTATAAAAATACAATAATATTTAGAAAATTAAGACTTATTCATATTCATACTTCAAAGTTTTGTAAAGAAAAAAACAAATATAAATGAATGAATCAACTAGATTTATAAAAATAAGTCATTTATATGGTTTTTCACATTTACATAGTGCTAAAATTGTGGAACTGAAAAACAGCCTAAACATTTGGATGAAAGGCTAATGCTAAAGACCAAATGCTAAATGTTCACAGTAAACAGTGTGTTGCTATGGAAACTAGTAACAGAAAACCAACCGGTGCAGAACCAGCACCTTGACACAAGTGGCTTCAACTGCCATAGAGAGTTGGTTACCGAGCAACCGAAAATTTATTTTGCATTCAAATGACATTTCAAAAAATAATGAGAACGTACATAAAGATACAGAAAAAGTCACTAAGTTATGAGCCCAAAAAGGTATAAATAAACTTGCCTTACTTTCACTTCCATCAAATTGCTCTGGGAGTTCTAGTGCTACACAACACCTTGTTCTAATATTCGGTAATATTCACAATCCTTCTACGGTTTCCAAATGAGGTACGAGCAACAATGTACCGTCTGTAATGATGGTGCCAGCATATGTTTGAGCAGTTTCCCAATAACGCCTGATTACGTATGCATTAATATTGCCTGTCTGTTATTGGGAAGATGGGTCGGAATAGCATCTGTCATGTCCAAAAAAATAAAGGTGAAATGCTATAGATCGGGCCGTGCCGGAGTCGTCATTGTTGGGAACTGAATAACCCTCTGACAGGAGGGAAAGGGACAAAGAAGCAGAGGAGAATCATCTTTCACTACGTCTGCGGCAGCCACAACACAACCCAGAGTGTGTTTTCTCTGCGACCTTATTCAGTCTCACCTTGAAGAGGAGAAATGTCGCCCTGCAGGACCACATTATTCTTGGTTCATTTGTTCTTTGTGTTATTGTTGTAGTGTGTTCTTTCTTTTTCAAGTCCTTTTACCCCATCTATATACACTGAAATGTCAGACAAATTCCTGGCAATTTGTCTTGTATGTTATTTTCTTATTCATGTTTTCAACTGGCTCAGGAAGCATATGGAGCAATGAGATTACTGGCTGTACGTCTCAATGCTCACTTTGGAACTGTAGCCATTGTTGTCATGTTTCTGACCTCCTAAACAAAGCTAAAGACATGTTTGGGTTCCAGTAGCCATTTCCTTATGTTATTGTTGACCTGCGGTTTAATATTGTATGTGACAAAAATAATCTATCCAACTATCTTAGTAGAACAGCCTTCTCACTATGTTACTACCTATTATCCCACTGAAGCACAAAACCAAACGGTTGCCTGGGTTGTGAGTGTGGCCATTTCGCCTCATATGCTTCCTAGTCTAGTCAAACCCAGGGCAGCTGTGGCTCAAGACATAATGCTTTACGAGCTGGAGGGGTCATATGCCTTTGATCTAAAGCTCCAAATCTAAAAAATTCATATAAGAACCTTTTTTTAGCTTCCATAAACTTAAAAATTAACCTTAAATCAAACACAACCAAAGCTTAAACTGAAACTACCTTATTTGTTGATTTTTGAAAAGCTAAAAATCTATAGCTTTTTAGCTTTTTAGTTTAAATGGTACGAACAAAATGGTTCGTACCATTTAAACGAACCATTTTGTTCGTTTAAATGGTACAGTTCTTCAAACTTCCAGCAGATGGCGAACATAGTTTTCTTTCTCAGCCTCCTGATACGGAGGTCACATTTCTACAACTCCCGCTGCACATTTTTTGTAAACTTAACTGCCTACAGCTTCTGAAGGAGCAATCCCTTCCAACCTGAAAAGCATTATGGGATTCATGCAAGTAGAAAATAGTCAAACATTTCAATACAAGTAGCTGCAATAACCTTGAATCTTAGGCGTCAGAATATGACATAGAGGATCGCAGCTGTCCAAACTTTTGAATAAAGTCAGATTGAGCTTTTAACAAAGCTTCTTCGTCTATGTAGACTGCCGCCCTCCTGGCTGTTACAAAGTACTGCACTTTGCGGAGGCTCCAGCCCAACACGTACATGAGAAACCCACAGAGCGCGGCGGTGGAACGGCCCACACCGGCGTTACAGTGAACGTACACCGTGTGGCCGTTCTCCAGGAGACCGTGGAGCAGGAACACAGCCTGAGGAAGCATCCGCACTCGACCTGCACACACCGGACATGTCAAATCAGAAAAATCTCACCACAGCAAAAGAGAACCTCATATAATGGACTGGGACAATGCAAAAACAGTCGCGGAAAAACACAGATCAGGAAGCAGGGTGTAAGGACCATCAACAGAGACGAGGGGGCCTTCACCTTGGCCTCACACATGGGACTTACTTCTCCAAAGACCCACAGGGGGCAGCTTTGTGTTAGCAAAGCAGACAGCTACATACACAGAGGGCTGTAATTGGCCCGCGGGAGAGACTTTAGACACACCTATTCTAAAGCTACAGTTCATTACAAAATCATGATACAGGTCTCGGGTAACAATTGGTAATGCTTTATGATAACTAATACTGTAAACCGGTACGTCGATTGGCCCAGCACTAAAGTGAACCCATGACTCTGAGGATCACAGGGAGTGGCCTCCTGCTGGTGCCAAATATTAGGGCTAAACACGGGGAGGCAGGATTTCAGATATATGCTGCTAAAATCTGGAACAATCTTCCTGAATATGTGAGACAGGCTTTTAGTAAGTATTTAAGTACGCCATCTTTATTTATATAGCACATTTTTACAGACCAAAGTCACCCAAAGCGCTTTACAATGTTCAGATTTCAGAGTTAGTTGTGATCACTCCACACGGTGATGACGGAAGCGAGACGCCAAACAGACTGGCGCATCAAAGCACCCAATCAACACCATCCGTTCACTGACGCATTACCACCAGACCTATTTTACTCTGACAATCTCCAATCCAGGATAAAACAGCTGTGCATGCAAGTGACAGACTGTATCCTCACTCTTTTGAATGTTCTGTGATTATTTATGATGCCCTGTATATGAACTGTGCGATACAAATAAACATACCTAAGTTGTTATGAGTTAGTGAGTCCGCTGCATTGAATATTTACATTCATAGCAATAAGGTTGTGTTACCTTCAGTGCTCATGTCAGGAGTGGGGATCCACACGTAGGCCAGCCCGGTGTCTTTGTACAGTTGCATCATGGTCTCAGGGTCCATGGGCACCTCAGGGTTGCGCCTGCACCCGGACGAGTTGTTCACCACGTCAACTTCGGTCTGAAAGTTCATTACTGCGGTAATGCCCAGTTCCTGCTTCATCTTGATGGTCACATGTTCCACTTGACGAGGGCAGCTTCCCAACCAAACCTGGGCCAGTATTCTGTGGCCATCAATAAGGAACAGAATAGCGAATATTGTTCTTTTTAGTATTAAAATTCAAAATGTAAAATGTACTGCTAACATAGCATTAACTAGATAGATGACATGTTAGTGCCATATGAACCAACGCGACCTCTGAGGAGCACAGGGACTGGACTCCTGCAGTTTCCCAAAGTCAGGGCTAAACATGGGGAGGCAGCATCTCAGATTTATGCAATTACAATAATCTGGAAATATTTCTGAAAATGTGAGACAAGCTTCTACTCTGATAATGTTCAAATCCAGGTTAAAAACATTTCGGTTTGGCTGTGCACACAACTGAAGGACTGTATCTTCACTCTTGTTTAATGCACTGTGATTATTTATGATTTTAATGCCTAGAATGATTGTTTCTACACTGTAACAAATTTCTGTAAAATTACAATGAAATTTCAACATTAAACAAATGTTAATTTGAAAAACAATTCAAACATGCAAAATTAAGTATAAATTGGTTTAAAAACATCCAGTGGCGTTTTATCACCACAATTATGTGATTACAAAAAACGTCACAATATCATAAAATCACAATGTGATTACCGTAATTTAACATCAACTTGTTGTATTTTTGGAATGCTGGGAAATTTTTGCTAGCAAGCAACCATGAGTGTAAGAGGTTTAAACTCCTGCTTTTGTTAAAATGATGCTTTTGCATTAAGCATGTTATATAAGTAAAGATTTCAACTATTATCTTGTATAAACTGAAGATATTAAAAAATAATTGAAAAGTTCTGTTCATTAAAGGAAAACAAAATTAAACTGTGTAGGTTTTTGTTCAATGAAACAGTCATATGGTGTAATAATACAAAATTAACATTATAATGCTGTTTTTGTTGTATGTGAATTAACACGAACACACCTTAACGTGGTGGGGGAGTTTGAGTACTCGGGTGATCCTGGGAGCTATGCTGTCTGGGGCTTCATGCCCCTGGTAGGGTCTCCCATGGCAGACAGGTCTCAGGTGACGAGTCAGACGAAGAGCAGTCAGAAGCCAACATGGACAGCACAAAGAGAAGAACCGTGACGTCGCCCAGCATGGCGCAGCCGGGGCCCCACCCTGGAGCCAGGCCTGGGGTCGGGGCTCGAATGCGAGCGCCTGGTGGCCGGGCCTTAGCCCACGGGGCCCGGCCGGGCTCAGCCCGAAAGGACGACGTGGGCAGTCCCTCCTGTGGGCCCACCACCCGCAGAGGGGTCCGTGGCGGCTCGGTGCAGAGAGGACTGGGCAGCAGTCGAAGGCGGAGACCTCGGCGACCCAGTCCGCACACCCAACATCTGGTTCTTGGGACGTGGAACGTCACCTCACTGGGGGGGAAGGAGCCCGAGCTTGTGGGGGAGGTAGAGAGGTACCGACTGGAGATAGTCGGCCTCAGCTCCACACACAGCTTGGGCTCTGGAACCCAACTCCTTGAGACGGGTTGGACGCTCCACTTTTCTGGTGTTTCTCGCGGGGAGAGGCGGCGAGCTGGGGTGGCCATACTCATTGCCCCCCATCTCAGCCGCCACGTGTTGGAGTTCTCCCCGGTGGATGAGAGGGTCGCGTCCCTCCGCCTGAGTACTCGGCCTTCTTGGAGTCCTTGGGAGGGGTACTGGACGGTGCACCGCCCGGGGACTCCGTCATTCTCCTGGGGGACTTTAACGCCCATGTGGGAAGCGCCAGTGACACTTGGAGAGGGGTGATCGGGAAGAACGGCCCCCCTGATCAGAACCCGAGTGGTGTTCAGTTGTTGGACTTCTGTGCTAGTCACGGTTTGTCCATCACGAACACCATGTTTGAGCACAAGGGTGTCCATCTGTGCACGTGGCACCAGGACACCCTAGGCCGGAGGTCGATGATCGACTTTGTTGTCGTATCATCTGACCTTCGGCCGCGTGTTTCGGACACTCGGGTAAAAAGAGGGGCGGAGCTGTCAACCGATCACCACTTGGTCGTGAGTTGGATCCGCTGGCAGGGGAGGAAGCCGGTCAGACCTGGCAGACCCAAGCGTGTAGTGAGGGTCTGCTGGGAACGTCTCGCTGAGACCCCTGTCAGACGGACTTTCAACTCACACCTCCGGGAGAGCTTCTCCCAGGTCCCGGCGGAGGAGGGGGATATTGAGTCTGAGTGGACCATGTTCTCTTCCTCTATCGCCGATGCGGCGGCTCGTAGCTGTGGTCGCAAGGTCTCTGGTGCTGGTCCCGGCGGCAACCCCCGAACCCGGTGGTGGACACCGGCAGTAAGGGATGCTGTCAGGCTGAAGAAAGAGTCCTATCGAGCCATGATGGTTCGGGGGACTCCTGAGGCAGCTGTCCAGTACCGGCAGGCCAAGCGTGCAGAGTCAAAAACCCGGGACTGGGAGGAGTTTGGAGAGTCCATGGAGCATGACTATCGGTCGGCCTCGAAGAGATTCTGGCAAACTGTCCGGCGCCTCAGGAGGGGGAAGCAGTTCTTTGCCTGTCCACATGTGCTTTGTGGATTTGGAGAAGGCGTTCGACCGTGTTCCCCGGGGTGTCCTTTGGGGGGTCCTCTGTGAGTACGGGGTCCGGGGTCCTCTGCTGAGGGCCGTCCGGTCCCTGTATGACCGGAGCCAGAGCTGCGTGCGCATTGCCGGCAGTAAGTCAGACCTGTTCCCGGTGCATGTTGGCCTCCGCCAGGGCTGCCCTTTGTCACCGGTTCTGTTCACTGTATTCATGGACAAAATTTCTAGGCGCAGCCAAGGGTCGGAGGGGGTCCGGTTCGGGGACCACAGGATTTCATCTCTGCTGTTTGCAGACGATGTTGTCCTGTTTGCTCCAACGAACCAGGACTTACAACATGCACTGGGACGGTTTGCAGCCGAGTGTGAAGCGGCTGGGATGAAAATCAGCACCTCCAAATCTGAGGCCATGGTGCTCGACCGGATAAAGGTGCCTTGCCCTCTCCGGGTGGAGAGGTCCTTCCTCAAGTGGAGGAGTTCAAGTATCTCTGGGTCTTGTTCACGAGTGAGGGAAGGATGGAGCGTGAGATTGACAGGCGGATCGGTGCAGCGTGCGCAGTTATGCGGTCACTGTATCGGACCGTTGTGGTAAAGAGGGAGCTGAGCCGAAAGGCAAAGCTCTCGATTTACCGGTCAATCTTCGTTCCCTCCCTCACCTATGGTCATGAGCTGTGGGTAATGACCGAAAGAACAAGATTGCGGATACAAGCAGTCGAAATGAGCTTCCTCTGCAGAGTGGCTGGGCGCTCCCTTAGAGATAGGGTGAGGAGCTCAGTCACACGGGAGGAGCTCGGAGTAGAGCCGCTGCTACTCCATGTCGAGAGGAACCAGTTGAGGGGGCTCGGGCATCTGTTCCGGATGCCTCCTGGACGCCTCCCTGGGGAGGTATTCCGGGCACGTCCCACCGGGAGGAGGCCCCGGGGAAGACCCAGGACACGCTGGAGGGACTATGTCTCTCAGCTGGCCTGGGAACGCCTTGGAGTCCCCCCGGACGAGCTGGAGGAAGTGTGTGTGGATAGGGAAGTCTGGGCGTCTCTGCTTAGACTGCTGCCCCCGCGACCCGGCAACGGATGAAGCGGAAGAAAATGGATGGATGGATGGATACAGTTAAATCCTGAAATCACAAAGGCAAAATGTGATTCAGTGAAACAGTCTTTAACCGCTAAAATTAGCAATGGAAATGCCATATTGAGAAAATAGAGCATTGGGAGCTCTAGAAAAAGAACGTTTAATTAGAGTTTGTTTTCAAAAATCTTTTTGTGAAAAAGAACAGGTGAAGCCCTGAAACATAGTATGAGGCAGAGCAGTGTTTCTCACCCAGGGGATTGCGGATCATGGAGATACTACAGGAGGTACTACAGCAGGTACTACAGGAGGTACTACAGGAGGTACTACAGGAGGTACTTTAAATGATTTTCAAAAGATTTTTGCAAACATTGATGGTAAGAGGTTAGTATGGACCACTACTCTGGCATGGTATACATTTTGTGAAGCCATCAAGAATAATCGCTGTGGTTGTAAATCGAACACCATTCTTTTCAAAAATATCTCAAATTGAACCTAAAAATATGAAATAAAAAAAATAAATAAACAAATACAATTAATTGTACAATTATCAAAAGATTAAAAAGCAAACTTTCCTCAGAGAAAACAACAGACCTTGGTAAAACACTAAAGCTTAAAAACACTTGTTGGCCCCGGACCAGAATGAGTTTGACAGAGGGTACTGGGGTCTTTAATTGGGATCCACGGAGGTAAAGGACCATAATCAAGACCAAAAATATATTAAAAGGAAAAAAAATGAGTAAAATACAGGATAACGTTTGTGTGGTCAAGAGGAAAGATTATTGAGAAAATGTGCCATAATATAAAACATATAAACATCAAGAATGGTTGGTGTGTCTTTGACGAAAATAACCCTTTTTGGAAGCAATTTGTAAAGACCAACAAGTACCAGAGAGCACATGACCTGAACAGGCTCTTAATAAGGAAAGTGTTGAGCTACATCCTTGTTCTTCCTCTGTGCATTGATGTTTCATTGACCTCATGTCCTCTCTTTTTGCACCTGACCACGGCACCGGCTCTCTGCAAACTTAATTTAGCTCACGTTAGCATGCGGCCGGCCGACAGCCACTCAAGGTGACTGAGAAAAGAAAAAAGGTAAATGTCGGTGATGCTTTGACTATGACTGGGATCTGGGAAAGAACCGACCACAATGAGGGAACCTAAGAATCTCACATTTTTTGTAGTCCTCCCACAGACTTGGCCTTGGCCACTACTTTAGTGTCAGAAAAGAAAATTATAAGATGTTATAAAAGTGATTCAAATGTATTTTTACATAACTGCTTCATTTAATCACATAGTTTAGGTTTAAATAGAGACACTTGTACATATAGAATGAAGGAAGAGAATTCAAACAATCTGAAAGGAATGAGAGTTAAGATCAATGTGTGATGCTTTTGAAAGAAAGTTTAGAAATGGTGCAGAGTCCTTGAAGTTTGGCTCAAACTTTATAATCAATCAATCACATTTTATTTATAAAGCGCTTTCCATACAGGACATGCAACACAAAGTGCTTTAGTTTAGTTTAGTTAAACAATCCCATATGCCCATGACTCGTTAACACCACCACCCAACAGACCCACCCCAACCCACGTAGATTATTATACACACACAAATTTACATGTAACTTTTTTTTTCTGGAGAAAGCTAACTGTAAAATGTGTTGGTAGCCCATATTAACCTCTTACCATCAATGTTTGCAAGTGAATAAAATACTGTATGTACAATAGTTCAGGGTGAATGAGTGAGTGTAGGTTACAAGTTTATATATTTACAGTACGTTCTGTTCATTAATACACATCCAAAAGTAAAATAAGAATAATAAAACAACAAACAGACAGTTTATTTCCCTCTTCAGTTGGACTCGTGAACACTCACTGTATGGTTCTGTCACCTTGTAATTCTGCCACTTTATAATCCCATACTTCTGGACCCTTAATAATAACCTGCACTGTTAAATGTCTATTGTGTGTATTTGTATTTATATATTAGAATTTATTATGTTTTATGCATGTCTATATATCTATTTTTAAGTGTTTATAACTTGCTTGCAACATATGCCAAAGCTAATTCCCAGTTTGTGATTTCCTTTTACTTACATTGGAAATAAAATCAAAAATATGTTTTCATACCTACAAGAAGTGGCGTTATTGTACCTTGAAAAGTGCATTGCCTTGTGCCCTGCCACACTGAAGTAAAAGTTGGTGGTGTGCTTCATCTCATCCGTGTGGCCTGTCGCTTCTATCCAGTGACCAATGGGGTGACAGTAAACTCCATCCACCATGTTCCTCTCGTCATACGCACACACTCTGTCATGAGCCGGACCATTGCCTGCACAGATGAAAAACAAGCTATAGTTATAGACACACCTTACTTCTGCAACTTCTGATTTCACAGCGAAGCATTCCAGTGACAGGAGGACACACACACACACAAACACCAAAATTGTATTAGTTAACATTAATTCATTCATTCATTTACATCCCCTTTATTAGTCCATTTCTGGGTCGGGGGTGGGGTGGCAATCAGAGCTGCTAATCAGTGCTCATAGCACCAGTCCCTTGCAGATCCTCCGGCAGGTGGTGGGTTCATGGGAAGATGGCTGCCGAGTGGGAGCAGTTGAAGTAGGTTTCGATCTCACCCACGACCTTCAGGCCCATTATTTAAGACTAACCATAAAATCAATCCTAACATTTCATACTGTAGTCAATAATAATAGATAGAGCCCACCTCATTGTCCATGTGAGCAGCTTTTACTGCGTGGACTTAAAGGTTTAATTCTAAGTAACTTTTTCACTAACTTATTTTGTTTGTATTCTGCTTTAGCTTTGCCTGATGATTCGTCCATCCATGGTCCATCCACTGTGATACTGTGACAAAAAATGAGGCTTTACTGCCCTCATGTGGCGAGGAGCTGACATCACAAGACCTTCACGTTATCGTTTATATGTTTATCATAGACATACATTTACGTTTTAATCATAGTGTTACAAATAATCTGATAATAACAATATTTTACCTTCAAATATAAAAGAGCCCGCGACTCGTTTGACAAACTTGAACCAGAACGGCTGGGTCCAGGGCTCGGACTCGGACAGGCGCAGCTCTCCTCTCCACAGACATGGCTCATGCAGCGACACGAGCTGCCTGGACGCTGTCATGGTGACCGCTCTGCTCGTCTCCCATTGGCCGACTTCTGCGCGCGAGCCCACCATAAACACCTCCACGTCATGAGCCTCTGGAGTCAGAATGAGCCCGAACCTCAGTAACATCTTCTGGGCAGTGTCCGAGCTAAAGACGGGCCCGAGCTCACCGCTAAAAATAGTCCCAGGGTCTCAAAGATAGAATGACCAGTTTGACGTCCCACTCTGCTGATAGAGGCTTAACTATCTAGGTTAATGCTATGCTAACAGTGTACGTCACATCGTTTATATTCCATTGTCTTTAAAGGCATAGTGTCAAAATCGGACTTGGAGATTCTTATCAATACTTTTGTGTCCAGTAGGTTGTTAGACTACTGTAACTCACTGGGATCTGTAGTATATTCAAAAGGCTGCAGTTTGAGTCCTGTCTCAAACCAGGAAGTATGATCACACATTAGTCCAGTACTCAGGTCTATGCACCGTGTCTCTGCACTGGCTGGCTTCCTGGGTCTCAGAGAAAGAGCATACTGGCACAGGGGCTCGACACAGTTTGTATGCAATGCCACTAAAAACATGTATGGGGCCAAGAATCCCCTGAAAAGGGTTTAATAAAGGTCGTTTAATTATTTAAGTTTTGAAACACCCCATGACCCCAATTCAGTGCGCACTCAGCCAATTCAGCATCAAAGACTGCCGCATTTTTCCTAATCTCAGGAAAAAATTGTAAAAAATCTATTAATCGTGAAATAATTTAGCGAGTCGTTAGATATTATTGCATATTGTGTATTCAAGTAGACACAATTGTTGTATTCAACACAGAGGTGAAAGCAGTGTATTTGCAGCTCACAGGGTTGGTTTTCTACTTTGTGTACTTTTATTTTCTTACACAGACAAATGTATTCTAATATGTTTTTTGGTTTGTGATTCCTTTTTGTGAGCAGTTCTCACGGGTTCAAAGGGTTCCTAATTTGTTCTCATGCTATTTCCGGAGGGTGCTACAGTTGAGCTGAAGTATATTTTATATATCTGTTATACGGTTTCTGTCTCTGCAGGAGACAGAGCCTCATATAATTATTTTAGGTATTTATTTATACAATCCCAAGGACTCGTTATAATGAAACTTTAGGTCAACATGTATTGTAAATTATTTGAATGTGTTGTTTATTTCCTAGCGTGCTGATTGGACTGATGAATCCTACCCTCTCATCTGCACCTGTGGACAGGTCTCCCCCAGCCTGGACTCGTGGGCTGCACGAGGCTCAGTCCTCATTCTACAGTCTGAGTCCTGGTTCTATATAGCCCTGCGTTCATGGGAGCCTCTTTCAATGTGGGCCTGACAGAGGTTTCTTACTTTTCCAGTGATAATCCAGGACATTTCTGTACAGTGGTCGCGCCGCTCCCAATGTGGCTAGAATGTTTGTTATTATTACATTCCCTTTGTTTGAACTGTCAGATTCTCCGGTCTGTTGTTGGTGAAGCAACTATTTTGTAAAGTCCTTCAAAACGACTACTGTTGTGAATTGCTGCTATACAAAACTAAATTGAATTTTTGCACTGCACATTAAACTTGCTTCACACCAAAGCCAGCAGCCTCTGTGGTCATTTAGCGTAAGTACTTGCATCAGTGGTATTATGTAGTATCTTTGGGAAGTGTAAAGACAAACTTTGTTCAAATAAGTGTAGTTACCTAAAAAACTAAATTCACTAAAATGAGTTAGAAACTGTTAGTAAAGTTCACTAAAAGCTGATATTGTATAACTGTAATCACATTATCACAAATGTTTCTTTAAACTAAAATAAACACAGTGTCTGCTTCTGAATAGTTTACACACAAGTCATGGGTTAAAAATGAGTCATGTCACCTCTGCTCTGAGCAAGTACCTACTCCACCTGTCTGTCTGGACTGACTGTATTGTATTTTTTCTTTTATATTTGTATTCTTTCAAAATATGGACCAATTGAATTTGAGTCTGAAATAAAGACTCGTAAATGGACCCCAAAGCAGACACTGCAAGCAGGTTAGGAAAAAGGCAAAACATTTATTAGGATAAGATAGACATAGAATCCCTCAGGGTGCCTTAGGCCCTGTTTATACTGAGACGCTGCGCAGACGTTTCCAGGCTATTAACAGAAACGACCAGGCTCCTAATGCAAATTTCTCAGCGTTCACATGAGGTTGAAAATCGATGTAGTTCTAGCGCCCAGCCAGTAGTGGGCAGAGAAACTTTACAACACGACACACGACCCCCAGCCCCCCCTCCCGGCAGTATATTCACTTCCTGTGCCAGACCCTCAGAAAGTACCAACATCATTCTGCATTTTAACAGCAGCTGTGAACATGGGAACTGAACCTAGAGCTTCGCGTGGTCTCGTTTGAACGAACGAAGAAGTAGAATTATCCTCTGTCCCGCGCTGGAAGCCCACGTAGCTAGTTATGCCGCAGCGCCATTGTTGTTTTTGTTTGTTCTCCGCTACTGCGCATGTCCAAATTTACGTGCGGGGAGCAGCGCGGAGGCGGGGGTCAGAGCAGAGGGGGATTTCACACCTTTTCTCCCTCTCGTGGGTGTGAAAGAGCTCCCCGCTGTGCAGCGTTTCTGAGTTGTCCCACTCTGCAGGCTGGATCTGAACACTTACGTTTTGACCCCCCTGGAACACAGTCTTCGTATGAACGGTTGGTAGCAACCGACATCCAACTATACCGTTTTACTGCCACATTGTCTCCGTGTAAACTCAGCCTCAGTCTTGCACTGAAAGAGCCCCTCAGCTCTTACTCTCCTGTGAAGTGGGTGGAGGTGTTGACCATGATGGAGGTGACTTTGGCTAACACACTCTTGTCCCTCACCTCCTCCACAGAGTCCAGTGGGCAGCCCAGAGCAGACCCTCCTGACCAGCTTGTTCAGTCTGTTTCTGTCCCGCTCTGTGTTGCCCGGGGCACAGCACACGGCAGCGTAGTGGATAGCAGAGTCACAGAGTCACGAAAAGTCCTGTGCAGAGGCCTGCTCAGTATACAGCCTCCTCAGAAGGGGGCAGCAACTTTGGCCCTTTTTGTACAGGGTGTTGGTGTTATGAGACCAGTCCAGTTTATCGTTAATGTGAACACCCAGGTACTTGAAGCTGTCCACCAGCTCAATGTCCTTCCCCTGAATGTTTTGCGGCCTGTGGGAGAGTGTTGTTCACGTTACTGGTGTTCAAGGACAAATGGGTGCGCTCACACCTGTCGATAAAGTCCATGATAACCGACCTGTACTCTCAGACACACAGCCCACCATGGCGCCGGAGAACTTCTGTAGGTTGGCATCTGGCCCATGCAGTGAGGTGACACTACACATTGGGCTTGTAGGCGCACTGCAGCGGGTCCAGCTGACCACAGAGCGGAGATGGGCGAGGATGCGCTTGCCTTGGCTCGTGGGTCTCTGAAGCAGGCAGGTCTGGGGAAAAAAAGAAAATTTGAATGAATAACAAGGCGAAAGTTTGAAGTGTCACTAGATTCATGCAAAAGATAGGTCTGTACCGTGAGAAGACGGAACAATCAGCCTGGGATACCTGGAGAGCTTGATCGTAGGAGTCAGTGTAACTGTCAGAGATCCCACCAGAAAAACACCAAGCCTGCAAGACACAAGCGACAGGGGACTAGAGACCAGGGAATAGACAGACACATGGGGAACAGAAGATTTATTTTACTATACTATACTATAATACTATACAAATTAATTGATTCAGTTCAAGTTGAAATAAGAAGTGGTGGGACAACTGTCAGTGACAGACCAATATGTTTTTGCCCCTTTATATACAAAATAAATACATCCATAGACCACCCTTACCTGCATTGCTGGTCCAGTAACCTCTTATCTTGGTCAGGTCCTGTGTGCTGTCCCCGTTGTCCTGGATGTCCAGTGAGCTCTGACACGTGTGATCCAGCATCTGTTGCTCCGCTCCGCACTGCTCTGCAGTCAATGAAGACAAGTGCTTCTGCAGGCACCTCTATGCATCTGCACAAAGACAATTTAGTGTTGAGAGAAAAGATTGTTAAAGAACATGTGATGTCTGTCCTCCTAAGTTCACCTTTGTCTGTGCTGAAAGAAAGAAGGCACACACTTTTTGCGGCACCGTCAGCTACGGCCACATTTTCTGCCACTGGAATTTTCAGTGCCAGCTAGAAGTTTTGTTGCATTTCCAGGGGCAGAGAGAAGCTTGGTGGCACTTTAGCATGAATGTCCCCAAGGGCAAGTAGTGGTGCCCTGATTGTTGTCCTTGGAGCAGCTCAATAACCAAGCACAGAAGCAGTAGGTCAAGATGCTCTGCTGAGTTTACAAAGGAAGTAGTCTCTGCTCCAAAGTTTGAAGTTTCACTAGATCCAAGCTAAAGATAAGTCTGTACCACTGTAGAGACGGAACAATCGGCCTGTGAGACCTGGAGAGCTTCATTATAGGAGTCAGGTGTAACTGCCACCAGCAAAACACCAATCCTGTAAGACACAAGGGGGAGACTAAGAGACTAGGGAATAGACAGACACATGGGGAACAGAAGATTTATTTTCTGCACCATTAAACAAATTAATTGATTCAGTTAAAATAAGAACAACTCTGGTGGGGCAACTGTCAGTAACTCACAAATTTGTTTATGCCTCACTTTATACTCATACTGTATCTATACATAGACCACCCTTAACTGCAGTGCTGCTCCAGTCACCTCTTCTCATCTTACAGAGGTCCTGTGTGCTGTCCCCACTTGTCCTGGATGTCCAGTGAGCTCTGAAACGTGTGATCCAGCATCTGTTGCTCCGCTCCGCACTGCTCTGCACTCATTGTACTGCTCTCTGCATCTGCACACATACAATTTAGTGTTAGGAGAACAGATTTTTAAAAGAACATGCAACATCTGTCCTTCATAGCTCACCTGGGTCGGCTCTGGACACTGATGACTGTCCTTCATAGCTCACCTGTGTCTGCTCTGGACTCTGATGTCTGTCCTTCATAGCTCACCTGTGTCTGCTCTGGACTCTGATGACTGTCCTTCATAGCTCACCTGTGTCTGCTCTGGACTCTGATGTCTGTCCTTCATAGCTCACCTGTGTCTGCTCTGGACTCTGATGACTGTCCTTCATAGCTCACCTGTGTTGGCTCTGTTCTTCTGTGGCAGCTGGATAAAAGGCTCTGCTGGCATTTTCAGTGGAAGCTAGAGGTTTAGTGGCATTTTCATTGGCAGCTATACATTTTGGAGATAGAAGCTGTCCCCTAGGACAGGTAGTGCCCTGATTGTTGTGTTCTGTGCAGCTGGAAAACCAAGGAGGTCAAAATGCTCTCTGCTGAATTTACAAAGGAAGACGTCTCTGATAAATGCCAATTAAATATTAGCTGCAACTAAAATTGCCACTAAACTTTGATCAGCCGCGGAAAAAGAAATCTCTTTTTGTTGCACCGGTAGCCACAAAATGAGACGAAAAGCAGGTCCTCTGCAACTGGATCTGATTAGGAAGTGTGGAAGAAGGATCAGGGGGATTACAAGGGCAGGGATGGGGTTACGACAGGGGTGTCCAAACCGGTCCAGAAAGGGCCGCTGTGGCTGCAGGTTTTCAATCAGACCCAGCAGGAGCAGAGTAGACTCCACCCATTTCCTCAAAACTTCAGGTTAAGACTGAACTCTCTTGAGGAAATGGGTGGAGTCTAATCTGCTCCTGCTGGGACCTGCAGTCACAGTGGCCCTTTCTGGACTGGTTTGGACACCCCTGGGTTAGGAAGAAAGAGACAGAGAGGGAGATGAGAGGGGAGAAGAGGAGGAGGGAGGAGAAGGGGAGGGAAGAGTGAGGCAGGGAGGAGAGGTCAAGGACAGGGGTAGGGTGGAGAGGGGGAAGGGAGGGTCATAAGGAAGGAGGGGGGCAGGGAGGTTTAGGAGGAAGGAGAGAGGGAGGAAAAGGGAGCAGGAGACGAGCGGCGCCGCCTCTCCGAGCTGATCTCAGCAGAGCCCCCTGACCTGCTACGTTTGTGGGAAGAAGAGGGAGTGGGAGAAGCAGCGTTAGGATCTGAAGAGGAATCTGGGTCACGGAAATCTGACACAGGAGGAGAAGGGAGATCTGAACCTAAACTAAACTCCTCTGGACCTGGAGAGGAATCATGTGAGGGGGAGGCAAGGAGGGGAGAAGAAGGAGCACTGCCAGGAGGACAGGGGACAGCTGCACCAAGGAAGAGAGGGACCTAAATAGGAGCAACAGTGGGGGAGGCAGGAGCTGGATCCAAAGTCTGCACAAAAAAGTCCAGGAACTCCTCAAGGCTCTGGAAATCAGAGGCACAAAAAGAAGATGAGGAAGGCGCAGAGGGGAGAAGAGGGAGAGGCAGGACGTGAAGGGGAGGAAAGGCAAGGAGAAGGAGGGTCAGAAACAGGAGGGGAAGGGGCGGCTGCACCATAAGTAGGACTAACCTGTAGAGGAGAAGTAGTGGGGGAGGCAGGAGCTGAATCTAGAGTCTGCACAAAAAAGTCCAGGAACTCCTCAAGGCTCTGGAAATCTGAGGCGGAAAAATCAGAAGAGCAGGAAGCGGCGGGAGAGGAAGGAGGAGGAGAGGGAGGCTGAACATCAGGATCCACAATGTCCACCTGTGGAGGGAGAACCACCTGCTGGGGATAGTAACCCTGGGGAGGGTAGTCCACCTGCTGGGGATAGTAACCCTGGGGAGGGTAGTCCACCTGCTGGGGATAGTAACCCTGGGGAGGGTACTAACCAATTTCCATCAATATTCATTAAACCATAATGAAATTAATAACTAGCATATTAGCATACTCCCTACCATTTAATGACCGGCATGAAAAAGAGAGGGAAAACGGTAATTTATATTGGCAGGTCAAAACATGGAAATGGGCCTCAGAAAAACCCATATTGGTCGATCTCTACTACATATACAGTGCCTTGCGAAAGTATTCGGCCCCCTTGAAGCTTTCAACATTTCGCCACATTTCAGGCTTCAAACATAAAGATATAAAAATTAAATTTTTTGTCAAGAATCAACAACAAGTGGGACACAATCATGAAGTGGAACGACATTTATTGGATAATTTAAACTTTTTTAACAAATAAAAAACTGAAAAGTGGGGCGTGCAATATTATTTGGCCCCCTTGCGCTAATACTTTGTAGCGCCACCTTTTGCTGCAATTACAGCTGCAAGTCGCTTGGGGTATGTCTCTATCAGTTTTGCACATTGAGAGACTGGAATTCTTTCCCATTCTTCCTTGCAAAACAGCTCGAGCTCAGTGAGGTTGGATGGAGAGCGTTTGTGAACAGCAGTCTTCAGCTCTTTCCACAGATTCTCGATTGGATTCAGGTCTGGACTTTGACTTGGCCATTCTAACACCTGGATACGTCTATTTGTGAACCATTCCATTGTAGATTTGGCTTTATGTTTTGGATCATTGTCCTGTTGGAAGATAAATCTCCGTCCCAGTCTCAGGTCTTTTGCAGACTCCAACAGGTTTTCTTCCAGAATGGTCCTGTATTTGGCTCCATCCATCTTCCCTGTCCCTGCTGAAGAAAAGCAGGCCCAAACATGATGCTGCCACCACCATGTTTGACAGTGGGGATGGTGTGTTCAGGATGATGAGCTGTGTTGCTTTTACGCCAAACATATCGTTTTGCATTGTGGCCAAAAAGTTCGATTTTGGTTTCATCTGACCAGAGCACCTTCTTCCACATGTTTGGTGTGTCTCCCAGGTGGCTTGTGGCAAACTTTAAAACAAGACTTTTTATGGATATCTTTGAGAAATGGCTTTCTTCTTGCCACTCTTCCATAAAGGCCAGATTTGTCCGATGCACGACTGATTGTTGTCCTATGGACAGACTCTCCCATCTCAGCTGTAGTTATCTGCAGTTCATCCAGAGTGATCATGGGCCTCTTGGCTGCATCTCTGATCAGTCTTCTCCTTGTTTGAGATGAAAGTTTGGAGGGACGGCCGGGTCTTGGTAGATTTGCAGTGGTCCTCCTTCCATTTCAATATAATTGCTTGCACAGTGCTCCTTGAGATGTTTAAAGCTTGGGAAATCTTTTTGTATCCAAATCCGGCTTTAAACTTCTCTACAACAGTATCTCGGACCTGCCTAGTGTGTTCCTTTGTCTTCATGGTTCTCTCTGCGCTTTAAACAGAACCCTGAGACTATCAAAGAGCAGGTGCATTTATACGGAGACTTGATTACACACAGGTGCATTCTATTTATCATCATCAGTCATTTAGGACAACATTGGATCATTCAAAGATCCTCACTGAACTTCTGGAGTGAGTTTGCTGCACTGAAAGTAAAGGGGCCGAATAATATTGCACGCCCCACTTTTCAGTTTTTTATTTGTTAAAAAAGTTTAAATTATCCAATAAATTTCGTTCCACTTCACGATTGTGTCCCACTTGTTGTTGATTCATGACTAAAAATTAAAATTTTATATATTTATATTTGAAGCCTGAAATGTGGCGAAATGTTGAAAGGTTCAAGGGGGCCGAATACTTTCGCAAGGCACTGTACTAATAAAGAAAAGTATAAATGATTGCCTTTTTTAATTATGAAATTAACCCTTTGTGCCCAGCTCATTGAATTGGCCCTTTTGTATCTGCGGCTTACGGTCATTATAACAGCTCTTATCTTCAAAGTGCACACCGCGTTTTGTCTTTGGCCGAAGGATTAGACCAGACGGATGGGTGCAAGGTGGTCCCCATTTAAATGAGTTGGTTTTCTCAGCACTTTCCATATGCTAAAATAGCCACACAATTACTCCGTCTCGGCAGGTGTAATAGAAACAGCATCTTAATCATTGTGCCTGAATGATGGATTGGTATCATTTGTTCTGCAGTGGACAGGTCACAGAAGAAATTCATCCAACCCCCCACTGGGTTGTGTGTATGCTCAAGTGCTGATCTTTTACAACTTTTAATTGATTTTTGTGGAAAAACTTAGTGTGACGTTGGATTTTTCCAGAAGAAAGTGTCCAAATTCTATAAAGTTGCTTTACAGGTGAGACTCATTTACTTCTGTATTTCAACTTACAATGTGAAACTGATATATGGCAATTCACAAAAATATACACAATTTATTTTTGTCTAGCCCTGAATCACAACAGCAGTCATCTCGGAGGACTTTACAAAGCTGTTTATTCGCCAACAACAAATCATAGAATCAAACAGTTTGTACTTGATAATGACAAACACATAGGAGTCCATACATGTGCATAAATGTCACTACATTTCCATCACTGTCCTGCAAGGAACTACTCAAAAAAAAAAGTGGGAAAAAAACGAGAAACCTTGAGTAGGCCAATATTGAGAGAGGGATTAGCTCCTACGGACGGACAGGCTGTAGATCCAGGACTGCGGCTGTAGATCCAGGACTGCGGCTGTAGATCCAGGACTGAGGCTGTATCCAGGACTGAGGCTGTAGATCCAGGACTGAGGCTGTATCCAGGACTGAGGCTGTAGATCCAGGACTGAGGCTGTATCCAGGACTGAGGCTGTAGATCCAGGACTGTGGCTGTAGAGTCAGGACTGTGGCTGTAGATCCAGGACTGAGGCTGTATCCAGGACTGAGGCTGTAGATCCAGGACTGAGGCTGTATCCAGGACTGAGGCTGTAGATCCAGGACTGAGGCTGTATCCAGGACTGAGGCTGTAGATCCAGGACTGAGGCTGTAGATCCAGGACTGAGGCTGTAGATCCAGGACTGTGGCTGTAGAGTCAGGACTGTGGCTGTAGAGTCAGGACTGTGGCTGTAGATCCAGGACTGTGGCTTTAGAGTCAGGACTGTGGCTGTAGAGTCAGGACTGTGGCTGTAGAGTCAGGACTGTGGCTGTAGAGTCAGGACTGCGGCTGTAGAGTCAGGACTGCGGCTGTAGAGTCAGGACTGCGGCTGTAGAGTCAGAACTGCGGCTGTAGAACGTTTGCTATAGATACAACAATCCAATACCAGTTTCGGTTGGATCAGCTATTGGTTTTATGAGATCGTTCAGTATATATCTTGAGCACACCTTTATATTATTTCTGCTGTTATTAGACCAGAATCCCCAAAGTAGTTCTGTTGTTGCTTAGAGGATCAGCAGCTAGTTTAAAACACTTTAAAACACACAAAGTTAGCTGTGATTTGAAGAGAGAATAATGCAGATATTGACTCCAATTTATCAGGATTGATGTCATACTTGAAACATCGAAGCATCCCCAAATTGGACACCCTTCATCACTTTCTAACAAACAAACATTGAATTTATTATTTTTTATATTTTTATTTTTTACTCATTTTTTATACCCACTGTTGCTTTTCACCTTTCTTTCTTTGTTACACATTATTTTTATGATTATGATTGTTGTGATTATGATTGTTGTTGTTATTGGGAATTGAGAATAGTTGGGAGTTAGTTTTTGTTTTTTCCGTGGTGATGTGGGGTCCGTGGTTTTGACTGTTTATCTTGTTGTTATTTGTTGTTCATGCTAGAAACAATGAAAAAAAACTAATAAAATAATAATACACAACACACACATTTTATTATGTTACTGTGCAAAATATATATATATATATTTAAATATACCAAACAATCTCACCAAAAGAGAATAGGGTCAGCAGGAGCGGAGCAGCAGTAGGAGACCACACACCTCTTGCTGGCTGCACTCAAACCCTGCTGGTTTTTAATGCACCACAAATTGTAGTACACACAACACTTCCAATCACAAACTTTCACAATATTAACCAATTCCAAAAGTTTTTACCATGATTCTCCCAAATGTTTGTTTGTTTTGTTGTTTTTGGTGGGAATAGTGATAGAGGATGGGTGAATGATGGTGGGGTCGATGGTCGGTGACGTGGCTCTCCCGTGTCGCCGCGAGTGCGGTGAGGACGGGCTCTTGATTGTTGAATAGCAGTGATGGTGGTGATGATCATGGTCGTAATTCTCGTAATAATTCCTAATTACACAAGTATTACACATGTCATATATACAGATATCCATCGTCTCCCTGTGCCCAAATATCCTCGTATCATTAAGTAATGTCTGTGCACGGCCCAACACACACACACACACACGCACACATACAAACACACAAACACACAAGCGCACACATGCACTAGCATACTGATTATACTGTTTGAATCCTGTTTTGTTTTATGTCTTCTAATTTGCCCATTTAGTTAGATTTTGTCTTGGACTTTATCCATTTTTTGTCTCTTTGTCTTCCCAAATAAAACATATAATAATATAATGTAATGGAATCAAATGGACCATAAGCCACAAAGGTTTGGCCTGTGTTACTTTGCTTGTATTCATATTTTTATTTAACGTTTTAAGTTTAATCACAGAAATAAATACACTTTTGAACAATATTCGAACGTTCAGAGTTTCCCCTGTTTTGTTTCATGATGGGAATCTGCAAACAGTCTCATTGCATTTTTGTTTTAGAGCAGAGAATAGAATGTTTAGCCATGCTCTAAAAGTAGCTGCTGTCGTGATGTTATCTAACTACAGCTGATCCAGTGGGCCATAGATAAGTGGCCAACTCCGAACACGACGGCTCAAAACTTAAGGTCAGTGTCACTCAGAAACTCTTTCACCCAGTGGTCTCCAGGCGCCAGTAAAATCCAGACAATGTACATAAATGTGAAACTATTAAGGAAGACAAAGTCAAGATTCATCCTTTTGTCTTCTACACTAGACTGTTTGCTCTTATCACTCAGGCCCAGCTGGGATTAGAAAGAGGAC